TTTTGAAAAATAAAAAATAAAAAAATCTGGGTCCAGGACAAAGAAGACAATAGCCATGACTGCTTCCCCTTCATCCAGATCGGAGGAAGAAGGAGGCAGTCATGGCTGCCTCCCCTTTGTCCAGATCAGACGAAGGAGGAGGCAGCCAGGCCTCCTAAAGTTTTGTTTTTTTTTTGTTTTTTTTTTTGTTTTTTTTTTTTTTGTTTTTTTTTTGTTTTTTTTTAAATATTTGTTAAAATAATAATTAAAATAAAATTTTATATATAACTTATGTTAAAGCCACGTAATCATCCATGTAAGTATTAACATTTTAAAATTAATTATATTAAATGCCAAGTTATCAATTTAACTTGTTTAACTTAGAGCAACAGGTAAAAAATGATAGTTACACATTTTTTTTGCAGGTTTAATGTTTTAATTGTACACTTTTTTGTTTGATAGTTCAATTGCGCAAACTATACAAGTTCAGTAGCTTAATTGACACTTTTTTCTAAATATTTTGTGGTATATGGTCATTATCCACTTCTCCCTATATTTGTGTTCCCTATATTTGTGTAGTTCAATTGCGCAAACTATACAAGTTCAGTAGCTTAATTGACACTTTTTTCTAAATATTTTGTGGTATATGGTCATTATCCACTTCTCCCTATATTTGTGTTCATTTACGGTTAAACTGATTAGTTATATATATATATATATATGAAAGGAGTTATCAATGAATGAGATGGTTTTTTCATGCATTATCTTCTTCTTCTCTCCTCTCCTTTTTTTCTTCTTCATTGTATGGTCTTTGAGCGTATGGTTATCATGTTATAACGCGAGGATATATCAAATTTCACAACAATAAAATCATTCTTCAAATTTCATTGTAAATAGAAATCCTAAATAGAATTAGAAGACAATTAAAACTTCTAATTCCCAACTCAAATACAGCAATAACCCGTTAAATATGTTTTAATTAGCCCATTAGCTCAAACATGGTTGATCAAATGAAATTTGGAGAAAGAAAAGTAAAGTACAAAGTAAGGGAAAATATAATATGGCCAGTATTTTTATTCATTACATCCAAATGATTCAAGGGTACACATATATATAATACAAAGGGTATAATAAATGATATACATAATGATGTGTAAATGCGTCTGTTACATACGTTACAAATATTGTCTACTATTAAGATATTTATAACACTCACCTTGGACATTATTTGTCCACGATCTTGTTTCGTTAAAAACTTGCTAGAAAAACCTAGACAAGAAAAGAGTACAATGGGTAGTATATTTAAATATATTCATGCCCCGTTAAAAACTTCACTAGGAAAACCACGTGGAAAAAAAAAAAAAAAAAAAAAAAAAAAAAAAAAAAAAAAAAAAAAAAACCTAGTTGAAGAAAAGAGTACATTATATATGTAAAAATCATATATTGTATTGGTTGTTGTTAGTCATATATTATTTATTAGTCTTGTTATATATGTTTAGTCAATATTGTAACAGGAGAATAAGTCCTTAGTCATCCCTCTTAGATAGGAGTCTCTTACGTTAGTTGTTATTTCCCTTTATATTGTTTTCCTGTTCTTGTGCTGAATATTATTATCAAACATTTATCTAATCTGGTATCAGATAGACCGGGTTCTCTGTCTCACCTCCTTTGTCAATCTTTATCGCCGGCAATCACTCAATCCCCCACCATGTCCACGAACTCCTCTGAAAGAACAGTCACTGCCGGCGCATCAAACCCACCGGCGACTGCCTCCAATCCCCTCACCGGTGCGAACCACCATGTGTCTATCAAACTCACCCACCGTAACTTTCTCTTCTGGAGAACTCAAATAATCCCTTTTCTTCGCGGCCAAGAGCTGTTGGGGTTCGTTGATGGGGATACGCCGTGTCCACCGCCCACAGTCGAATCACCACCCGCTTCCGGCAATTCAAATTCCGCAGCTACCACCACTGGTCCGATTCCCAATCCCGCATACAAAGCGTGGATTAAGCAAGATCAATTGATCTTATCTCTGATCATTTCATCCCTCTCGGATGAAGTGATGCACCTCGCCGTCGGCAAGGCCACATCCAGAGAGATCTGGGAGTCAATCATGGCGGCGTTAGGCAGCACCACCAGAGCCAGGTGTTTCAGCCTCCTCGGGCAATTCCACTCTCTCCGGCAAGGGAGTGGCAGTGCGGTGGAGTATCTCGGACGTGCGCAGCTGCTAGTGGAACAGCTTGCGCTCGCCGGCAGGCCCGTCTCCCTTGTTCGTCTTCCGCGGTCTCCGACCGGAGTATCGCGCCATGGCGTCATCGCTCACGGCAGCAGGGATTCCGGTGACGGTTCCACAAATATCCGACTATCTGCAAGCTCAAGATTTCATACACGCCGATGACTACCCGGCCGGATCAGACGGCGGATACACGGCGGCCCCTTTTGCCTTGTATGTCGGTCGTGGAGGCCGGAACAATGGTGGACGAGGCGGCAACGATGGTGGCAGACAAGGCCAGAATCGCGGCCGTGGCGGTAGGGGAAGCCAGAACAGAGGCCGGGGAGGACGGAACAATGCTCCTCGGTGTCAGATTTGTAAAGCCCAAGGCCATACTGCAGTTTACTGCTTTAAGAGATATAATACACAGCCTCCTGCCCAAGCCAATATGGTGACTGCCGCGGATGACTCAGCGCCTCCCTCGTCGGCTTCGGGTTGGTTTCCGGATACAAGCGCGTCGGCACATGCAACTCCCGACGTGTCCATGATGTCTCAGGCGGATGAGTATACCGGCGGGGATGTGCTTCGCGTTGGTAACGGCGCAGGTTTGGATATTTCTCACGTTGGTCATGCATCGATCCCATCTAAGTCACAAATGTTACGTTTGTCTAATGTTTTATGTGTTCCGGATTTATCTGTGCCTTTGTTGTCCGTTAATCGCTTCACTAACGACAATAACGTATTTTTTGAGTTTCATAAAAATTACTTTGTTGTGAAGGATTCCATAACTCGGGAGGTTCTGCTTAAAGGTCCAACATCCGGTGGTCTTTACAAGCTTTTTTTTCCGCAATCTCCATTTGCATTTTTGACTTCCCGGGCAACTCCTGTGGTTTGGCATCGTAGATTGGGCCACCCGCATGCACACGTCCAAAATAAAATTCTGCAGTCTTGTCCAGTTGCGCCAGACAAAACCAATAAAGCGGAGTCGTGTACGCCTTGTCAGCTAGGCAAGTCATCCAGATTTCCAATAGATAGGGTCTTTCATTCTAGTCAAAATGTATTGGATTTAATTTATACCGATATATGGGGCCCGTCTCCTGTAATATCTAGTAGTGGTTATAGGTACTTTCTGCTATTTGTAGATGATTACTCACGCTTCTGCTAGTTTTACCCCTTACGGGTGAAATCTGATATATATAAATGTTTTGAGTTGTTCCGTGTCATGGTAGAACGCCAATTTTCGCGTTCTATCAAGTCCGTCCAGTCCGATCTCGGCGGTGAATATCGCAAGCTGCACTATACTTTTAGCAAACTTAGCATTATTCACCGCCAATCCTGTGCCTACACACATGAACAAAACGGGCGCGTTGAACGCAAAAATAGGCATATAGTTGAAACTGGATTGGCACTACTAGCCGAAGGCTCTGTCCCGCTTCAATATTGGGACTATGCTTTCGAAACGGCTACGTGTCTAATCAACTATTTACCAACACCTACATTACAGTATGATAGCCCATACAGTCGTCTACATAAACACTCACCCCCATACACTTTTCTACGTGTCTTCGGGTGTCGCTGTTACCCGTATCTGAGGCCTTATAATCGCCACAAGATCGAGTTCCGGTCGGCACCCTGTGTCTTCTTAGGTTACCCGTCATCATTTAGGGGGTACAGATGCATGAATCTAACTAATGGAAAAATCTACATCTGTTGTCACGTACGTTTTGACGAAACTAATTATCCCTTTTCAGACACAGGTGGTTAATCAACTACAACACAAGTGCCTCTCAATCTACCATGGGCCACCAGCCCGGTATTAACCGAATGTTCACATGTTGAGCCAATTGTGGCACCCACTATTCCATCATCGGACCCCATACCATCAGGGAGTCCGACGCCCTTGGCTCGGGACACACCACCTTTGGCTTTGGAGGGGCCAAAACGGGTCGCACGGAAACGTGCCACTCGAACAGCACCACAGGTACGGGATCATGCTATGAGGCTACGACGCATGACACGAGGCACGAATGAGCTATTTCAGGCTCTTAGTGCAGTCACTGATCCAACCTGCTACTCACAGGCAGTTGGGCACCCAGAATGGCGTGAAGCCATGGATCAGGAGTTCAATGCACTCCTACATAATAGCACATGGGTTCTGGTGCCTGCTAAGCCACACATGAATGTGATTGGTTGTAAGTGGGTGTTCCGCACCAAACGACAGGCTGATGGCTCTATTGAGCGTTATAAAGCACGCCTCGTTGCGAAGGGGTTCAACCAGGTTGCTGGGGAAGATTTCTTTGACACATTTAGCCCTGTAGTCAAACCGACTACAGTCCGGCTACTCTTCTCCCTAGCAGTGTCCCATAGCTGGACCATGCGGCAGTTAGATGTTCATAATGCATTTCTGAATGGGCATCTAGCTGAAACAGTATACATGAAGCAACCGCCTGGCTATGAGGATCCAGTTCATCCTGATCATGTATGCCATCTACAGCGGTCCTTATATGGTCTTAAACAGGCCCCACGGGCCTGGTTCAAAAGGCTACACGATTTCTTGATATCTGCAGGTTTTGTGCCATCTAAAACCGACGTTTCTCTTTTTCATTACTCTACCGGATCATCCAGAGTATATCTACTTGTGTATGTTGATGATATAATCATGATGGGGAATGATCCACCTCTTATTACTACATTGCTGCACCGGCTATCTACTGCATTCAAAATTCGGGATCTAGGCACCCCAGGGTTCTTTCTTGGGATTGAAATGTTACAAGTTGAAGGGGGAATCATGCTATCCTAGCGGCGCTACATGAAGGATATTCTAAACCGTGCTGGTATGTCAGACTGCAAACCTTTAGCAACCCCGGCTGCTGTTACACAGTCTGTTACACCGTCGGACCAGCTTCATGATAATCCGACGCAGTATAGGCGCATTGTAGGTGCCCTACAATATCTCACCATTACCAGACCAGACCTCTCTTATGCTGTCAATCGACTCTGTCAGTTCATGCACTCGCCGTCCGTTGATCACTAGGGTCTCTTGAAGCGTGTTGTTCGATATGTCAAGGGTACTCTTGAGTATGGTTTACGTATTACAGTCTCTGCTTCCTCGGCTATTCATGCCTTCTCTGACTCCGATTGGGCCGGCTGTCCGTTAGATAGGAAGAGCACGAGTGGCTATGCTGTATTCTTGGGGACTAATCTCGTCTCCTGGTTGTCTCGGAAACAGCGCACGGTAACACACTCCTCCACTGAGGCTGAATACAAGGCTCTAGCAGATGTGTCCGCTGAGGTCACTTGGATTGTTTCGTTGCTTCGCGAGTTGGGTCTACATACTGGCGAGTCGACTACTCTGTGGTGTGATAATTTAGGGGCCACCTATCTCTGTGCTAATCCCATGTTCCACGCCAGAACCAAACACGTGGAAATTGATTTCCATTTTGTACGAGACAAAGTTGCCTCAGGGGACTTACTTGTTAATTTCGTCTCAACAAAGGATCAGATTGCAGATATCTTCACCAAACCCTTGGCTGGTCCACGTTTTGCTGCTCTACGTGACAAGTTCAATGTGGTGACTCACCGACCTTGTGCTTGAGGGGGAGTGTTAGTCATATATTATTTATTAGTCTTGTTATATATGTTTAGTCAATATTGTAACAGGAGAATAAGTCCTTAGTCATCCCTCTTAGATAGGAGTCTCTTACGTTAGTTGTTATTTCCCTTTATATTGTTTTCCTGTTCTTGTGCTGAATATTATTATCAAACATTTATCTAATCGTTGCCTCATTAAAAACTTTAACTTAAAAAAACCCTATGGGAAAAAACTTAGTTAAGGGAAAAAAGTACAACCATAAGCCTTCAAAGCATAATCTTCAGGATTTTGGGGGTTGTCTATTTGAGTATTTACTTGTAACTTTCCCTCATTAACATTACTATATCATACTCATGCCTCGTTAAAAACCACACTAGAAACCCAATGAAAAAAGAAAAAAAAAAAAAAAAAAAAACCTAGTGCGGAAAAGAGTACATGGTATGTATATGTTGTAAAATGTATAACTGTTAGTCTTTTAAGATCCAATCTACATGATTGATTCGAGTGAATGTACTTCTCGTCTCCCCCTGAAGATAATAATTTTTAAGTTCTGCATGGTTTAAAGTAAAGTCATTGTTTCAAAAGAGTGTAGAGGGGGGGATATAGAACAATCTTCAGGATTGTCATTAGAATTTATCATTTTATTAAAATAATCTTGTGACTCTTTTAGTAATGGACTTCTAGTCCCAAAACTTCTCTCTCGAATAAACATTAGTGTCTAACAGTCCTTAATTTTAAGGTCATGACTTTAATAAGCTGCATATCTAAAATTGTTATTATTCTGTCAATTATGTAGTGGAACTTTTAATAATATTCATCATGGGAGAGTATATCTGATTCAGGGTCTCTGCGTGAACTCTTGGGCCACAGACTCGCTTTATATCTCACCATTTTATTGTTTCTCTTTTATACAAACAACATTTACAAGCTACAGAGTTAACACCTTTAGTGGTATACAAAAGGAATCTATTTATCAGCGAGCTGAGTTATATATATATATATATATATATATATATATATATATATATATATATATATATGCCTTAATTTCACTTTTTATATATTAATCAATCTAGGCGCTTCTGGCACTTAGCTCTAGATCCAGATTGTAATATAATATGAGCACTTTGAAGGCAATTGTGTTGTCGATAACTTATAACATTTTCAAGTATTTCTCCCATATATAAAAGTAAGAGTAAAAGACATTTTTGGTCCTAGACTTATAGTGGCACGGGCAATTTTGATCCTCCATAAAAAATTCAGACAATTTGTGGACACTCTTATTGTGACGAGGACAATTTTGGTCCTTGTCAGTATTCCCGTTAGATGCCCCGTTTGAGAATGAGTATTTGCGTCTTTTCATCATTTCAACTCAGTCTCAACTTCTGGAAACGACGTAGTTTAAGGTTTTGGCTAAGAAGAGGTAAGACAACGGCAGGTCTAGGAGGAGCAGATCCACGCAAACTTCGCAGAGACGGTTGAAGTGCTGGAATCGTCATTCATGGACGACGGACTCGAGAAGTACGACTTTGGTAAGGGAGATTGGGACGACGTCGGCTAGTTTGCTATGATTTAGGAAACGATGCCGTTGTAATCGGCGAAGAAGATTGGATCTGGTGAGATTGGTTAGATTTTGGAAGATTATTACAAGACTCTACGTGAAGAGACTGATAGGGTAAACTATTCCCGTCCAAATGAGATTGGATCTGGTGAGATTGGTGGCTTTCCTTCTCTATCAGGTGAGATTGGTGCCTAATGAGAAGGTAAAATGGTTTCTACCTTCTGCCAGCTTTTCTTGCCCTGCGCCATATACTTGCTAAAAAATGGAAGGTGATTGAAGCAACAATTCGTAATCAACATCAAACACTTACATTTAGCATGAAGGAAGGCTTGTTACAGAGAGTAAGTTTTACTGATGGTCAACAAAATGTTATTGGCGAGGAAATAGCTATGTACAACAGCAGAGGGAGTGGAGCTTATCTATTCAAACCAGATGGTGATGCTGAGTATACTTCCTTAACTGGTGGATTAATGGTTATCTCAGATGGCCACTTAGTGTAGGAAATACTGAAAAGACACAAAACCCCCTCTCAAACGGTCTATCTAACGGGAATACTGACTGAGGACCACAATTGTCCTCGTCACAATAAGAGTGTCCACAAATTGTTTAATTTTTTTATGGAGGACCAAAATTGTACGTGCCACTATAAGTCTAGGACCAAAAATGTATTTTACTCTAAAAGTAATTTTTGAAAGTTAACCAAATTATAGTCATTTTCCAAGGATATTTATATTTGCTTGTTCCGCAACCCAGTATTATGATTATTTGGTGCACCTATAGTTTTACTGGGTTTTTCTCGTCATTTGGATGATTGCCTTAAATTTATAAGTTTTTTAAGAGCTCTTAGATTTTTCAAGAGTGACAAAAATTCTTTACTAGATTTAGTTGTTGTGGATTCTTATCTTTTTATACTGATATGTCTCCCACACTTCTGGTGCCAAGGAGTATCAATAGATATATATGGTCCAATTTTGGGAATGTGTATGGGACCTAGTCACTCTTTTTATGAAATAGATTATTTGGCAGATATGTTTGATTTCTTTCTAAACTTCCAATTCGGTCTAATTGGTACGTGGGTTTTAATTTTTGAAGATCATTTTCATTCCATGAAATTTCGCGGCATTTCATTTCTCATTTCAATTTGATCATATCTCCCCCTAATGCCGTGAATCGATCTTCATACAGTCTGCGAATCCACTGCATCTCTATCATGGGCAATAGTTGAGACATCAGATGGAGGTTTGGATGTATACTATGTTGGTTTATGTAATAGAATAAACTGCATAAGAATATAAACGCAGATTGGGAAATGTTTGATTTGAAACCACGTATTAGATGTAAGGGGGAATCATGATATGCAGTGTGCCGGAGTTTAGAATTTTAAAATAGCAGCATGAATACTGCATTTCCCCCAACTAATATCCGACACATTGGATTGTTTGAAAAAAAAATGGTCTTAGATGAAAAAAATTTCTCGGCATTCTATTAAATTTTGAATTTCAAATCTCCCCCGAATGCCGAGAAAATGTCTTATAACATATGATGCAACCAGCCTTCCTTTTGATTCCTCATTATGGGCTATAGGTGGTTGATAGCCCCGATACACTGTTGTGGTGATATAATAAAAGGAAGGGTGCCATACTAAAAAAGGCTGAACACAGATAGGGGCATGCATGGTATTGAACCATGTGCTAGTTGTTTGCGATATGTATTGGATAGATGTTTCTTTACACCTAAGTAATCGCCATAGTGTTAAAAAAAAAATCACATAGTGATATAAACATGCACACAATGGTTAAGATAAGATAATTATTAAAATATTGAAAAAAACTTCTCTATGCTTAGCAAGATGTTGTTCGACATTTTTATAATCATCGCAAGATGTATTCTGATGTTGGTAAGCGCCAATGACAAGGGTTGCCAAGTGATCATAAATTTTGATCACAATAAAATGTGTAATAAAAAAAATTGATTATTAAACTAGGAGTTTTCCAATAAAGGAAACAGTCATGACTCTACTTCTCAATATGTATGTAAATTCACAATATATACGAGCATGCTAATCAGGAAAAATATTGTGGTATAGTAATATATTCTACAATAGAATACATTAAATTAAACAAAATTTGTTCATGCCCTTTTTAGAAAATGCCGTAAAACCTTCAAAATGGTTTGAAACAATTTAGGTCCACAATTTCATGAATATTTGAATTGTAATAATACATATTTGTAATCATAATGCCCATATAAAATGTGCTATCAATTCAAATTCAATCATAATGAATACAGAAATGTCATTCTTAATTGGTTTTAACGGTCATTATGCATGGAAAGTCAAGCATAATCTTTGGGTGAATTTAAGCAATGAATATCAATTTCCTTGAATGCACAGCCAATTAACCATAAAATACAAAATATATTTACAATAGTGAGATGAGTATAAATTGTCACATAATGAAAAAGGTATAATTTGAACACTTGATTTGTATCGTAAGAATGGAGCCAGCGTGTGTTTCTTGGCTCCCTTAGCAGCGGAAAGCGTTGATGATAACTTAACAAAGAGGGTTCAACTGCATGCATCCACTAAACCAAGGATGAGAGTTGGGTGACTACCAAACCTAGTATGGCCTGGGGGACCGATTATCCCAGCTGTTGGCAGAACAACACTAGCAAAAAGGTTAGTAGGCAAGAAACACTGTAGGGCCAGCTCAAAAGGGACCGTATCATCTCCTTTCAACCAAGGCAGTGGTCCTATACAAATTTCTAGCGATGAATCGCGATTGTCCGATTGTGATGATGTCGCAGGCAGTAGCGCGGATTATCGCGATCATCCGGGGGCATGCTTATTAGATAACATATGCCTATCCGGCCCAATATGCTTATTGCATAAAAAGAATAAAAAGAAAAACGTATGCATATTCGTGTTGATAACGTGTTGTAATTAGCCTATTAGCTCAAACATGGTTGATCAAATAAAACTTGCAAAGAGAAAAGTAAAGTACAAAGTAAGGGGAAATATGGCCAATAATCTTATTCATCACATCCAAATGCTTCAAGGGTACATACACACACACACACACACACACGACAAAGGGTATAATAAAAGTTATACATAATGATGTGTAAATGCGTCCGTTACATACGTTACAAATATTGTCCACTATTAATATAAGTGTACAAATGAAACATTTTTTACCTTAATTTAATTGGCTAGATTATTTGACAAAACTTAGGCTATAATCTTGTTATAATGTTTTGGACCGTACCTCTGTCTAGATCTCGTTCAGCGCTGCAGTCTCATGATGTCTTTCAATCTTTGTCCAAATCAGTGTCAGCGTATCTCAGCATTATTATCTAACAGATTTCAGTTTGGTTGAACTAGTTTTCAGCCTGATTTTAAATGGATAGTGATCATTATTATTGGATTTCTGGTCGGCTTATT